GACATAATTAACACATTATTTTTATGAACTAACTATTTGAAAGTCAATTTGAATTATCACAAATCTATTACAAATACATGTATACCAACATCAGAGATAGTAAACATTTGCCTTGTGTTCGATAGGAATTCCAACTGCTAATTCAGTGATTATCCTCAAATTGGTTCACAAACTTCACCTGTTCGAGTACCTTAATACACTTGTAAAGATATTTAGTAATACAGCCTTCGTGTGGTTTTCTACGTTTCTTATCAGACTGACAGTCATCCTCTTCAGATTGACATCAATTGGATACATAAAGGCTTGCGTTAATACTGATGTGACACCGGGTATTGAGCAATTTGAGATGTAACAGTATCGCAATTACCAATATTGGCATACGAAGAACCAGTATATGACACTAAGAGCGACCGTATCCACTGTTTAGTACAGGTACTTACAGCGTTTCAGCATGTAGTTCGACCATGCAATATTCACATAAATGAAATAGCTTTTTCAGTTTCAAAACATATTAGATTACAGAAATATTCATATATGTGTCCAAAACATATTAGAGCACGGGAATACAATATTCAATCAACTAAAAAACATTAGAGCATTGGAGAGCAATCTTCTTATTGGTTTCAAAAACATAAAGGAGCGCAGGAATATTAATTCCTTTTATTTTCAAACAAACTTTGATATTGTTTTTATTGATTGATGATATCATACTTTGATACAATGTAATAAATCTAACAAAACAAGTAGTTCGTTGTTCCGTTACATTGAATGAAAAACTCCTTTACAAGTGGCACGGTTTTTGGGGTTTGTGTTTGTTATTTTAAACGACAAATTAGAAGTTTATAATTTCGTTTTGGTTTTTTGGTGTGTGTGTGTGTGTGTGTGTGTGGAAAATACACATTGTACAAACAACCAGTAGAAACCAGCATCCGGACAAATGCAAAGTACTTACCCTAGGAAACAATATCAATACCGCGCCGGTATACTTGTATAAAGACACCGATGAAGGGAGAATCAAAGTCATACTAGAAAACATTAACAAAGAAAAGGATCTCTCGATGTAATTACAGATAACAAACTTAAATGTACTGATCATATACATGAATCGGTCAACAAGGCAAATAGGATAATGGGTACAATAAGAAGAACATATACATATTTAGATGCAACAACTTTTTGTCTCTTGTATAAAGCGCTCGTGAGACCACATCTGGAATACGGAGCTTGCATTTGGAATCCATACCTTCAAAAGGGCATTAACGAAATTGAAAATGTGCAGAGGAGAGCAACAAAACAGATACCAGGAATGAAAGAACTAAGTTATCAAGCCAGATTAAAGGTGCTAAAATTACCAACGTTATAACACAGAAGATTACGAGGGGATATGGTACAAGTTTACAAACTGTCACACGGATGCTATGACACTTCTGTAACGGAAGGGTTTTTAAATATAAACGATAACAGGAACTCAAGAAGTCATAGCATTCCACTTGGAAAAGGAGTGTGTAAAATAAACTTAAGAAAGTATGCCTTTAAAGAAAGAGTAGTCAACCATTGGAACTCACTGCCAAACCACATCGTCACATCACCAACACTTAGCATAGTAAGATGAGTGCTTTACGGTCAACCATATCATTGTTAAATTGTACTTTATGATGACCTCTTGTTGCGCACAATAGTGTGCCTGGGTGATAATAAAAAATCTCTGAAATCTCTGAAAAACGTTTGAAGCCCGACTGGATAAGCACTGGGGAAAACCAGAATGCTATTATAACCATGAAATTGATAATAATGAACTTATTAACTGTCGGGGTGTCAGCTTAGAGTCTGACGATACACCTGATCTGGATATATAGGCATATGCCAGCGTCCAGTACTATAAATTATATTATATCATATTATAGACGGTGATTGATTCTGCGAATAGCCTTGTTTCGGTTATAGCCCAGCCTAGGACTGTCGGAGTATCAAACGCCTATATGCTGATACCGTGTGGCTGTGAATGGTATGACGCACGCTCTACATATACCGTATGTCTGTCCTTACTTTAATTTGTATAGAAGTATTTGGCAATACTACAATAAAGAATGTTTAGTTGATAATTCATCCAACACAATTCAAGTTTATCACATGAAAACCCAAACAAAGTAAGGAAACACCTGTTAAAACTTCAGTAAGTAAATACAGGAAGCCAAACAAAGCTAGCATTCACTGCTCCTGATGGCCATTTTATTGATTTAGGATACCACGATGGAACTGATGGTCAAAGAAATGAAACGGAATGTCTTATTTGTTAGTAGTATTACAAATACATCAAAACGAAACGATACATGTATAACTACATAACGATTCGTTCAGTTTCATTCTAGCATATCTAAATAAAAACCTGTTCAGTCCTTATACATGTATTTACTTTCTTTTCTTTCTATTTGTTTTATTCCCTTAAATTTTCGATATTGAAGTGTTCATGTCGTCAGTGCACGAGATACTTAAAACAGCCTAACGTCACCTAAATATTTGCTCCCAGCTATTGTGTCATGTGTTTCAAAATGACGCTGATCAAATTGCGTTCATAGCTCTATGAATGAAGTTTCTTCTGATAATGATTATGGAAATATACGTTTTTGTCATACTGCAAAGAAAAATGTCGCACGGTGATTGGTCGAATTGCCAAGGTACCTGAAGCTATGTTAATATCCTTGCCGGGGTACATAAGAGCACGCGCGCCTGTTGTAAGGGAGATAACTCGATGATTCGAATCGAACACACCGGAGAACGTTCGTCTGCTAATGTCAACAATCAACAGGGAGAAAAAATCAATCGTTACGAGTTGTTAAGGAACTGAGTTGTTATTTAATGTTGTTTCAAAACCATATTGTTGACTTATTATAATTTAAAAAATTATTGAATTGTTGGAATTATACAAAAATAGTTTTTTCTGTTTTCCCGTACTGCCGCCCTACACAGTATCTGTTTTCTGGCAAACACGAGTCCCAACCTATCAATGGCTTTGCACCAACCCATATCTTAATCTGATCACAGAACCAACATATATCTCAAACTAATCACAGAACAACCTATATCTAAATCTGAAAACAGAACCAACCTTTATCTTAATCTGATCACAGAACCAACCCATATCTTAATCTGATAACAGAACCAACCTATATCTTAATCTGATCACAGAACCAACCCATATCTTAATCTGATCACAGAACCAACCTATATCTCAATCTGATAACAGAACCAACCTATATCTCAATCTGATCACAGAACAAATCCATATCTTAATCAGACCACAGTACCAACATATATCTCAATCTGATCACAGAACCAATATATATCTCAATCTGATCACAGAACCAACCTATATCTTAATCAGATCACAGAACCAACCTATATCTTAATCTGATCACAGAACCAACCTATATCTTAATCAGATCACAGTACCAACATCTATCTCAATCTGATCACAGAAACAATATATATCTCAATCTGATCACAGAACCAATCCATATCTTAATCAGATCACAGTTCCAACATATATCTCAATCTGATCACAGAACCAAACTTATATCTCAATCTGATCACAGAACCAATCTATATCTTAATCTGATCATAGAACCAAACCTATATCTAAATCTGATCACAGAACCAACCTATATCTCAATCTGATCACAGAACCAACCTATATCTTAATCAGATCACAGAACCAACCTATATCTTAATCTGATCACAGAACCAACCTATATCTTAATCTGATCACAGAACCAACCTATATCTTAATCTGATCACAGAACCAACCTGTATCTCAATCTGATCACAGAACCAACCTATATCTTAATCTGATCACAGAACCGCCGCATATCTTAATCTGTTGATAGAACCAACCCAAATCTTAATCTGATCACAGAACAAACCTATATCTCAATCTGATCACAGAACCAATCCATATCTTAATCAGATCACAGTACCAACATATATCTCAATCTGATCACAAAACCAATATATATCTCAATCTGATCACAGAACCATCTATATCTTAATCTGATCACAGAACGAAACCTATATCTCAATATGATCACAGAACCAACCTATATCTTAATCTGATCACAGAACCAACCTATCTCTCATTCTGATCACAGAACCAATCCATATCTTAATCAGATCACAGAACCAACCTTTATCTTAATCTGATCACATCACCAACCCATATCTTAATCTGATCGCATAACCAAGGATTACTGTAAGGCCAATATACATAAAGGCCAATAGTTTTTTATCTTTTGTCTGATTACTTTTAATTGGGCTTGTTATTTTGGACAAATATTAATATATTAACCGGAGTGTTTCAATGTACCGGGCAGGTAAACGTGTCGTCGTATATAGAACGCTCCTTCCACTACACATCCCTTGTGCCATCATTTTCTGCGATGCTGCCTTTCAATATCAAATCGAATTGCTGTATCTATAATTATATCATTTATACAGTAGCATTAAACATAGCATGAATCACACAATATGGTATAGATAAGTCTATCTTTAGTGTGTCCCTGCTTGATGTTTTGTTCGACAACTTAAAATGTGCGTCCTTTATTTAAAGTGTGCGTCCTTTATTTATAATGCAAACATGCATGAACAGGTTGTAATCAGGTGGTCAAAGTAATTCAGATTGGAGGAATATTACTTGACTACGTCACCTTACCGGTTATCTAAACAATTCATTGACCGGATGTATATCATAGTCAACATTTGTGAGGCAAAAAAAAACCGTGTCAATTATGTTTGTACGAGTAATGAATGACTGTAGTTTTGTTTTAAGGACACGCATTGAATTTTACTATAAGCTTATGTTTGTCCATGAAAGAAAAGTATTGATTATATTTATTAGAGTTTTTAATTGCATGTGGTGGTTCTATTGTATCGACCATCCTCATAAAAATAAAAGTCTCACTCAGGCCAGTTTTCATCTACGCTAGGTAGTATATACTTATCAATTATGCTGTCAACGTGTAATTACCACTACTATTTACATATAATTGATATTCAGGTGAAACCGTCAACTGGAAGATAGACAGTGAATTGCCGGCTCTATCCAGGGAGTCAGACTCTGGATCGACTGATCATATTACATGGTACGGGGAACATGCACATACTTACTACAACATTTATACAATGGCATGCATGGCGTGCAATGACAAGGGGATTCCTTTGTGCGGCATGTGGAAACTTCATTGTTATCGATTGAAAAAAATATTTAAAAAATATTACGTGAAATCTAACGGAAACATTCATACAGTTCTTGGGTTTTGATAATGTTGCCAGTGAAATGAATACAAGTGACTTAATGAAGGCATTCACATATATAGTTGACTATTTTTATAAGTGACGTGTTGTCGAAGACGGCATTTATATAAGTCTACAATATTTGATTTCGGATTGTTGTTTGTTGTTTGTAGATTAGTACGACATATCACTGATTAATGACGTCGGAATACAAGCCAGGCGAGATAGTGGTACGGACCAGGCTAGAGAAACATGTGATAAAATGGTTCACCTTAATATACAGCTCGGAGTACTAAGTCCGCCAGAATTCTTGACACACCTGTGGAGAGTACCTACTAACAAATGGGAGATCACCAGTATAAATTACTTGTTGTGTTACTTGTGCACTATGGTAAGTAAAACAACCCCCTAACGCCAAATAAAGATCGGAATGTTTTACAGCTTCTTTTTTGAAAAAGTAATAGTTTCAAATAAAGAAGAAATGTCAACTTGCGTTAAAACTGATTAATATTGCGGAGAAAATTGTAGGTCCATGATCTGAAATTTGTACATTTGTCCAGGACTGAGATTATACGATAAATCATTACTTACTAATAGATATCCGGGTGTCACCTTTTGACAAGAAGGCATTGTATTATCTTCTAGAAACATCGATCAATATCTATACCAGCTCTTTTGTCAATGGTTTACGATTGCCAGCGTCATGTTACTTGCCGTTTGGTTTAGTTTTGAAGATGTGGTTGCTGCCTTTTGTTTGTTTGTTTTATTTTTTTACACCAGTGTGATGTCGTTGCCCTTTGTTTTGGTTTCCAATGTTTTGTCACAGCCGTTTTATTTTGGTTTACGTTTTCCAGTGTGCTGTCACCCCTGTTTGTTTTGGTTTACGATTGTCACTGTGATTTCACTGCCGTTTTTATCCAATGTGTTGTCAGTTCCGTTTTGAGATCTTCAACAGGTTTCTACAATTAAGTTAACTTTTTCGATACAGCAAAGTATACTGTATATAATGACATATTTTACGTGCGTATGAAACTTTAGAGACCAACCCCCTTTAGTTTATTGCGTCATTTGTGTCGAAATCAAACATATATATATGTATGATTATAGACTGTGACGCAAATTTCAATAAAAAGTACACTGAAAGGAATGATATTGGTCCCCTCATATATTTTTTTAATGTGTGTTTATCAAAATTATTAAAAGGAAGGAGGTGAAACACTTTCCCGATCTGTATTGGTGTTCAATGGAAATGTACTGGTGACGCTTTTGTCCTTTAGTAAAGAAAATTTCAGAACTACATGAATGTCCATTTATCCTAATGATTGTGAAATTAAAAGATACCACAGTTTCCTCACCTTAATCATTGTATCTCTCAATTGACGGACGATATTTCAAATATGATCCTCTCACTACCTACCTTTGTGACGATATTTAATTCACCGCCGTTAACTTTGAGGCTGATTGAGTAACAGATACACGTTGCGGTGACCGATAACATGATCATCGTGACTCGATTCTGAGATGAGATCGAAAGCGGTTAGTATAGTGTCATAGTGACATGCGGTGCCGGTAACGATATGGTATTTTTATCTAGTTCACTTTCCTTTAATATCTGACCTCATTTTAATCATATGACCAAAATACATAACTATAATCGCAGTGTACAAATCTGACTCCAGTACATACCTCTAACCCCAATACAAACATCTGACACCTGACAACAGTACCTACTTTTGACCTTAGTTCATACCTCTGATCCCATGATATACCTCTGACCTCTAACCTCAGTACACAGTTCTAACCTCAGTACAAAGCTATGACCCTAGTACATACCTTTTGATCCCATGATATACCTCTGACCTCTAGCCTCAGTACACAGATCTGACATCAGTACAAGCTATGGCCTCAGTATATACCTCTGGACTCGTACCACAGAACATACAATGTACCTCTGATCTCAATGCATACCTCTTCCCTTAGTATGAATACCTTTGACCTCTGACCTCAGTATGTATCTATGGACAGAGTACATACGTCTGAACTCAGTGTGTACCTCTTGACTAAGTATACATCTGACTTCAATTAATACTTTGACCTCTGACCTCAACATGTACCCCTGGACTGAATACATCTGACCCGAGAACTTAACACTGGCCTCACTACATACCTCTGACCCCCGTATATACTTTTGAACCCGGTGCATACCTGTGACCCCACTTTATACCTATACCCCATAGTATACTTCTAACCCCACTACATTCCTATTACTACAATATATACCTNCTAATCTTATCACAGAACCAACCTATATCTCAATATGATCACAGAACCAACCTTTATCTCAATCTGATCACAGAACCAACCTACATGTTTATCACAATCTGATCACAGAACCAACCTATATCTTAATCTGATCACAGAACCAACCTTTGTCTTAATCTGTACACAGAACCAACCTATATCTTAATCAGATCACAGAACCAACCTTTATCTCAAACTGATCACAGAACCAACCTACATGTATATCACAATCTGATCACAGAACCAACCTACATGTATATCTCAATATGATCACAGAACCAACCTATATCTTAATCAGATCACAGAACCAACCTATATCTTAATCTGATCACAGAACCAACCTATATCTTAATC